TCCTTCCAGGGGCTGGGCCAGCTGCAGAGCCTCGACCTCAGCAACAACTCCCTGAGCGTGCTGAGGAATGACACCCTGGCCCAGTTCCGGGGCCTGCCCGCCCTCCGGCGCATCAGCCTGAGCCACAACACCTGGGTCTGCGACTGCGCCATCGAGGACCTGGTGGCCTGGCTCAAGGAGAGCGACCAGGTGGAGGGTAAAGAAGCCCTGACCTGCTCCTACCCTGATAAGATGCTGGGCAAAGCCCTGCTGAAGATCAACAGCTTGGACCTGAACTGCTCAGTGCCCATAGACCTGCCTTCCCAGCTACAGACTTCGTATGTCTTTCTAGGGATAGTGCTGGCTCTCATCGGAGCCATTTTCCTCCTGGTTTTGTACTTGAACCGAAAAGGGATCAAAAAGTGGATGCACAACATCAGAGATGCCTGTAGGGATCACATGGAGGGCTACCACTACAGATACGAGATCAATGCAGACCCCAGGTTAACAAACCTCAGCTCCAACTCGGACGTCTGACGAAGCGCTGCGGGGCAGCGCCGTAGCTGTGCATGAAAAGTAGACTCGTGCTTCACCCTCCTGCTTGCGTCCCTTCCCCTGAGAAGTCTCGGGCCTGCTTGTAACACCAGGGGGATGTGCCTCCCTCCCTCTGACAAGGTTCAATTTTCTTTTGAGAATCTGGGCAGCTGCGCATGGCGTTGGGCTGTATGTAGGAAACAAGCTGCTACTTCTTTTCCTTCTTTCCTGTCTGTACTTGCTGGAATATTATTTTTTTTTTCCAAGCTATCAAAAGAGAAAAAAAAAAAGGAATCTCTCTGATGCTTCAAAGCCACCAGAGATTATAAAAAATTCACTGATGCAGACACCATTCAACAAAAACTGCCTCAACTTTTTAGGGAAAAAAAAAAAGGTTATGTTCTTCCGTGCCAGTTTTGGTCTTGTATATCTGAATTATGATTACAACAATTCCATTTCACAGACTACCTTGAGATTTTAAAAAACTAAAGGGACTCCTTTTAATGACTCCTCTGGTACAAAGCAAGGAATCAAGTAGTGAGCATGCACAAAATACTTTATAGTTTTACATGTTGGGAAACTTAGAATCTCAGTAAGTCCCTTACTATTTTGTAAAGTTTTGGTTGCAGTGTACCTGAAAAGAGAGATTTTTTTTTTTATACAAACTGCATCTAAACTCCATCTGAACTGTTAAATTCAATAAACAGTCTTACAAGAACTGTTGTGTTGAAGTTTGCTGATCAATGAGAAATGTATGGACATCTAAGAATGTGTGTAGCTTTATAGGCTCTGAAGTAGTAGCCCTGCAGTAGTAATCTGAATAAAATTTTATAGAATTGTGTAACTTAGAGAAATGAATGTTTGCCATTTTTGTGAAATATGCCAGGAGAATTGCACCAACCAACAAGCCGTTTCACTTGGCATAAAACCCCCCAGTCTGCTCTCAAAACAACTGCAAAGTGTCAGGACAGATGCTGAGGTCCACCTTGCTGGGAAGGTACAAACTGGTAATAAGATCTTCTCTACCAAATTAAAAAAAAAAAAAATTACTCAAATTAGGTTGTGCATTATGTCAGCTTAAGTAAATTTTACCTGAATGGAATTGTTTATTATAAAAAAAAAAAAATTTCATGTCCTAAACTAAATTAAATGTAGCTCAGTTGTGTGGTGAGTGAGCTTCAGGCTTGTAAATGAATGCAGCACTTAATTTATTAACTGCTTCCTAACTCATTGCAAACTCTCAGTACTAGTGAGTTTCTATATTATCCATATCAAGTAATTTGATGGAACTTTACACCTACCTTAAAGCTTTTAACAGGTGCATTTCAATATTGTGTTTTACTCATGCTGATTACTTGCTTGGGAATGCATTTTTTTGTAAATAGATAAAAAGCATGTGAAGAAAAACTTCAAAAATGCATAATTTAATATGCAACTCTGGTGACAGATGAAAAGGTTAGCAAGAACCTTCCAATGGTCACCAATAATTAATGCACTTTTTCCAATCCATTCATAGATTCTTAATGGAAAGAATACACCAACTGTGAAAGTGTGATGTGAATTGGTATCTATCAGCTTATCTGTGGAGCTTTTTCTAATGTGACTATTCCTTGAAGCTCTTGAACATCTCTAAAGTGTTAAGAATTACTGGCTAAAATCTCTTTGCTTTCAAAAGTGACAGTTTTCTCATATATATGCGCCTTTGGTAAGAGCTCATAAATATATAATAGTCCCTAAAGTATCAGGAGAAATATAATCTGGTTTGGGCATCAGTATTATTCAAATGTATTTTTCTCTCCTTGCAACTTCAGACAAAGCAAGTAGCACAAGTTGGTTCAGACTAATTTTCTATTGCTTAAAATTGCTGTTCAATTTATTTAATAGCAGGGTTTTTTTGTAATGTAGTTTTGTACATTTGCCCTCAAAAGTAAAAAATAAGTGAATATTAAGTACAATTAAGGTCTTGATAAAGACCTTACAATTAGTGTAATAAGTGATAGCCTATTTTTACTGCTGTATGAGCAATATCTGGTAAACAGGTATGAAGTTTGTGGATTCCTAAAAAGCAGACTGCTGGTCTGAATGTTAGCTGCCCGTTATTTTAAGAACAGTGTAAAAACCTCAGTGTGAATAACTGTTACTGTGCAACTATGCAAACCATTCATACTTGGCATACATAAGATAGTTTACCTAAGCAGCTAGAATTCACAAGAGCTATGCAGTGTGCTTTGCTGTATTGATCATTTCAGAGATGATCAACTTACACTTATTTGTACAGTGCCAAGAGTAGCAGAGCGTCATCCTTGCTTAAGATGCTCCTGTAATATAATAGAGAAAAAAGTAGGTACAAACCAGGACATTCCTTGGGCAATCTCTTGGGTTTTGTAAACAGACACTTTAAAGTAACTACAGTAAAAACAGTTATCCATGATGTGTTAATGTAACAGCTATGCATTTATGGAGCTGTGTAAGGACAGGCAATGACTTCCATTGCAGTCTCTCACCCATCAACGGAATATTTGTATAGTGAGTAAGTGTAACTGTTTGTATTACAACTATTATTCTAAATATTATTATTTTTGTATCGTAGAAAGTAATTGTAACAGAATTTTATTAGAGACCTGTTGACAGCTACTTCAAAATAATTTTTGCCATTTACTTACATGTGTATTTATTAGGATGTAACACTTAGCATGTGTCAGTATTGTGCTGAATAATGTTCTCCTACAGTGTTTGACCAATAATGAATGCTTTGGTGTTTTGTACAATGCAAGTGATCTTAAATCCCCTTCCGTAAACAGTGCTTGAAATTTGTTTTCCTTTCCTATTACAAAGTAGTTACAGTAGTACTCAAAAGACATTTAAAAAGTAGCTCCCAAAGGGCTTCAGAACTTGGTTTAAAAGTATGGATTTAAAATAACATTAGTGTAAGGGTTATTCTGAAGCACATTTTATAATCTTACTCTGCTTTGACACTTGAAATTTGAATTGATGACCATTTCCAGAGCAGCTTAAATAGCAAGGCTGTTTTATTCCTTCATTTGTCAATAAAACACGTGCAGCATTAAATGCCTCTAAAATGTGTTTTGTATGCATAACCCCCCAAAGTTCTGCATGACATGGTTATCACTGATGTTTCATATAAAACATCTAGACTAAAGTCATGAGCAAATCTTGAGGGAAGGCTGCACAGCTAAGAAGCAGAAAGGAGGGTTTGTCCGAGGTTCAACTGCTTTCTTAAAACTAGCTTTAGTTGTGATAACCTTAGTATTTTCTTAGTAGAATGGAAAAGGAATTGATGTAATTTTAATATCTTTTCCTAAAGTTCTTTGGATAAACACTGTTGCTAGGTAAAACCAGAAAATTCCCCAAATCTTTTTTTACCCAAGGTAGCTTTACGTTAGATAATCGACATCTTTTTATTCTCAGCAAGACGAATTACCAATAATTTCAACATCCAAAAAGTGATTTGAAATTTTGCACAAATGCTTTAAATCTTTTAATTCAGGGTTGTTTATCTTTTAGCACTGGCGACAACCCCCAGTGCCGTGTCAGGTAGCAAAGCAGTCTGATCAGACCTGTATTCAGTTGTTGACTGAGATTTCACTGAAGACAGGCATGGCAAAATATTCAAAGTATGACTGCTCTAGGATCCCAACTCTCATCATTCTACCAACGTTTTCCCTCTTTATGCATCTGCATAATTTCTGCTTTGCCTCATTTTCTCAAATCCATTAAAAGGTGTATCATGAATCTGCACAAGTAGATAAATCAGTCTGACTGCACCTGTATTTTGAGGTTTAGCATCTTCATTTCCCTTTGAGCCTTAAAGTGAAGAAGGTCCTTTATCAAAGTGGACAGAATGAAAATTTGATACACACTTTTTCTTTCTCTTCAGCAGCTGAATGTTCAAGAAGAACCATTCATTCTCAGCATATGATGAAGGAAAATAGCATTTGGTAAGAAAACATTTCAGTTTCAAGCTTCCAAATGACATTTATATTCTATAAGAGAGGGTGAAAGGGAGAAGCTTATAAATGAAAAGTAGATACCACTTGGTGATGGGTCAGCAGTGGAAATCACATTAGCAATAGTAACAATTGCTGATTGACTCCATGTGGTCGGTCATGTTGTGGTCACGTTTTATGGATACAGCTCTAGTTCTTCCTGCTACTATAAATAGAAACATTTTGCTAACAAGTAGAGTCCTGTCCTCTAATATTTGTAACACAGGGGTTTCCACTGGGATTTTTGAGAGATATAATAGAAGACTGAATTTAATTCAATGCCTGCTGGTTTAATAGTGGCTAGATCAGACCCATAACTTAATGTTTCTTTTTTGCAAACTTGCCGCTCAGTAGTTGAAAAGCCCTTGGCTTGAAACTGATGAAAGTCCACCAAGGAAGTGAGAAAGCAATCATTTGGGGAGTGTAACATTTATTAAGTATTTCACACATGCTTAAAAAAGAGACATAAACCATATGGGAGCAGAGCTCCTTTGCTGATGAAGAGGTAAGCTGGCTTCTGAAGTGAAAACAGCAGCAGCAGCAAAGCGGTGCATTGTACCAATACAATAAACCTAACAGCAGTCCTCTGCCACCTTGAAAAAAAACACACCAAGCTTTTAGAAGTAAGACTACAGGTTTGCAGTATGAGTGTGTCCTTGGAAAGGGCTTTTGCTTTTTCAATGGTGTTAGAGTTTACGTGTTGTCACATCATTGGAAAACCTTGCTATGCCAGAAGTCATCTGTCGAGCAGGCAAAGCTTGAAGTCAGGCCTTGCATTCCCAGTGTTGACCTAAGTATAAAAAGGGAACTATTAAGAAAATTAAGATGATGCTTTAGGCAGTGTGTTCCTGTTACAGTTAGTAATTTAAATGCTTGCAATGGTTTATGTTTTTTAAAGCATTCACTGGATAGCTTTTCCTTTCTGATGATAAACTAACAGAATAACAGATTTGTGTTTTCTAGTAATTATGCATGAAAGCATCTGAATAAATTAGC